TGCCCAGTGATGATTAAATACCACCAAAAGAAAGCTCTATTTGTGTGAAAAAAATGATAAACGTTTCAAATGGGTATAGTGTTGCATGACCGCGCAATTATCATTCAAAGTGCGACAGTGCTGAAAGGTTAAAACTGGCCCAGGCAGGAAGTGGGTTAAAGTGCCGGTAGGCAAGTGGTTAATAATGTTCTAGACACAAAATATCTTCAGAATAGCTTTCTTCCTGCTAAATGTGCTAATATTCACTGTGAATTTGCTGTGGCTTTCTTAACATTTGTACAGAACTTTTATTTACCTAATTGGTTATATACAGTCTTTTTTTCTCAAAACTATATATTAAAATGTATTTTTTTCATTGCATAAAGCTTGCTGTGCAAGTGTGATTTTGAAACTACCTGAAATATATTTATTAGGCATAGCCTATTGGGTAATATTTATTTATTTATTTGATTGCACAGCTGGTTTACTGAGTGAATACTCCAGCGCTTTCATTTAGGTGTTATTGCTTGTTACTGTATTTGAAACTAATTATAAAACACACACCTGCTGCCAGATGCTGTCTTTTAAGTGTGAAAGTGGAATTGCACGTATGTGGGGTTTTTATAATTTTTTTTCATTTAGGTTTACAAGATAATTCAATTTTAGTATGCATTTCAACTGATCTATGAAACAGAACAGATGGGCACTAATATCATATCAACAAATTCTTGTTATCTTAAGACTAAGTTATTAGGTGGTCTAAATGGTGAACATCTGTTGATATAAATAACAGCTCTGCATCAATGCGTTAATTTGTCTTTGTAAAAGAAAACACTTCCTATTATAATATCCACACTGTGAAACAATATTCCATCCAGCGATTTTCTGAATTTTTTCTAATTTTTTATATCAGAGACATGCACAAAAGTATTCTTCATTGCTACTAGGCACAGTACATACACATAAGAGATCAATAAACCATTCACATAATTAATTACTGACCTATTATCATTTGGATTGCCAAAGGTCTGCAAATGAGAGAATCTAAAGCCTGGCTAATAAAAACAGTTTTGAAAAAAGCATTGGTTGCAACGATTGGGATTTTATGAGGTTGATTTACTGAAAGTGAATGGGCTGTTCACTTTGCGAGAGAAAGTTCTATTTGCTTTTAATAAATCAGCCCTATTCCTCATACATACTGCCATTTATCTGAACCGATTACAAAACACTGAGTTCATTTACCAGTCAGGTGGGGTTTTTTTTTCCTGGTACTGAACTGCAACTGGGTGCATTCTATCTGTGCCAATGTTCCTATTAGTGTTTGCAGCAACTTTTATTCAACCAGGTGTGTCAGAGGGGCTGACGTTGTTCACAGAGTCAAGGTACAAGAACAGAGAACCCAATCTACCAAGTGGATCCTGGGGAAAGGGGGGAGGGTAGCAATACACTTGCCAGCTCTGGAGTGACATTAACCGCTTTTCTGCTGTCCTATAGCAAAAATACTGCTAGAGGGCGGCAGGGCAGCGCAAAATCATATATATGATACATATATACGTGATTTTGCGTTTCCAGGTAGGGGGCGCACTCTACCCGCGCTGCCTTTGGCGGCCTCGGCTGTCAATCACTAGGTCCCTGCCAGTGATTCCCTGCTGTCACCCGGCGATCACCGAGTATCACTAAAAGGGGAGAGACCTATATGTAAACAATACAGATCTCTCCCCTGTCAGCTCCTGCACATTGCTTTGTATGGCTCTGCATTGCAGAGCCATACAAAGTAATGTGCTTACACAGTGAAACAGACATACAGCACACAATAAAACAGCACACAGTTAACCCTTTGATCGCCCAAGATGTTAACACCTTCCTGCTCAGTGCCATTAGTACAATGTCAGTGCTTTTTATTAGCACTGATGACTGTATTAGTGTCACTGGGGATGCAGTGACAGTTAATTAGTCCCCCCCCCCCCAGTGTCAAAATGCCTGCCGCAGTCCCGCAGTCCCTCTATATGTTGCTGATTTCCAGCATTACTAGTATAAAAAATATAATTCCAGTATATATACTGCCATTTGTAGACGCTATAACTTTCACGTAAACCAATTAATTTACATGTTTTGGGATTTTTATTAGGAAAAACATGTAGCAGAATACATTTTGGCCTAAATTTATGACGAAATTTGATTTTTAAATTGTTTTTTACTGTATGTTTAATAGCAAAAAGTAAAAAAAATATTGTTTTTTTTTTCTCAAAATTGTCAGTCTTTTTTTGTTTATGATGCAAAAAATGAAAAATGCACAGGTGATCAATACCACCGAAAGAAATCCCCATTTGTGGGGAAAAAAGGACGTACATTTCTTTTGGGTGCAGCGTTGCATGACCGCGCAATTGTCAGTTAAAGTAACGCAGTGCCGTATTGCAAAAAATGGCCTGGTCAGGAAGGGGGGTAAATCCTCTGGAGGGCAATTGCTTAATGTTAAAAAGCAGCTTTGAACAAGTTATGTTGCAGCAACTTCTATATAATTCTGTGTGTCTCTTTTTTGAATGGACAGTGCAGATTGTGTAGATTTTAGGAATTAAAATGTGAGGGCACATCCTTGAGAGTTCTGCCTTCTGTTAAAGTGGTTCTAAAGTGTAACAATTTTTTTACCCTAATGATATCCCTGCAATAAAATGGAATGTTCGTCAGAAAATTATGTCCTGATAGATTACTTCATGCTGGCCCCTTTTACAGGTATAGCCATGTAAAACATATTGCCTATACTTTTTAACCCCTTCCCACTACCGCCTCCTGGCCCTTTTGGAGGTTTGAAATGCTGGGAGGCAGAGCATTCCGATCATGTGACTGCTGTGATTGACAGTCACATGATTGGTAGCTTTCCAGTACCCGCCAGTAACTGTGTTGGGTGCGCCGACGGCATGTGCTCTCAGCACAGAAAGATGTTTACATAGGGCCAAATATACGCGGACTCTCAACGCCAACGCCCACCTGCCGAGAAGCCGCCATATACACTTATGGTGGACTGGAAGAGGTTGAAATCCAGTAAGGCACTGTCTCACCCTACCCTGCACAGCCTCGGTTGTCCTGTATTCTCTGCACTGTGCTGATAATGAGTGAGCCATTACAAGCCAATCTGCTGACATACTCAAGATTTACTGCTGTTGAGGAGCAACAGGAATGACACAGACTGTGTCGAAGAAGGACAGGTTAAGGATAGAGAAAAGAAGAGGAGAGGTGACAGGACAAAGTCTCTTCTTTCTACCTCAGCATAGGCATCAGCAACTGTGAACCTTATTTAAATTTGATATTTCCACGCTATGTTAAAATTTTACTGTGTGTACATTGTCTATACAAAACAAGATTTCTAGATGTGCTGCTGTGTAGAAAGGTAAAACCTCAAAATACCTTAACACATGTATCTTAAAGCAGAGTTCCACTCACTCTGTATAAAAATAAAAGTCAGCAGCTACAAAAACTGTAGCTGCTGACTTTTAAAAAAACAGCCACTCACCTGTCCCATGATCCCACGTTGCCCCGCCACAGCCCATTTCACCGGCCGTCCTGTATTCTAGGCTCTGACATCCTCAGTGTGGGAACCCGGCTGTGACAGCTTGTGCTTCACAGCCGGGTGCCCACTGCGCATGCGTGTGAGTAGCGCTGCACTTCCTGAATGGCCCCGTCATCTTCTGGGACCTGTCATGTGTCCCACAAGACTTCGGGGAGGGAGGGTAGGAGGACAACTTCCGTTTCCGATATCCTAGGCGATCGGCAGCATAAGTGGAAGTGGAAGCGGGTACCTGTCAAATTCGGGTACCCCCCCCCCCCCACTACCCAAAGGTGCCAATCCTTAATGGGGAGCGGAGGACCATTCTTTAAAGCGGAACTTCCCCTTTTGGGTGGAACTCTGCTTTAACAGTGCTGCTCTTAATATATATAAACATACAACTACTAATCACGTGCTTGCAATTCAATAAAGTGAACTAAGTGCAGTCCATGAATGAATATATGCAATCCATAAACAAATATATAAAGAAAGAAAGTGCAGTCCTATAATAAAAGTGCAACTGTGCAATAGCTTTTGATTGGTGTTGAGATCGTCCCGGTCTCCCCTCCTTTGTTTCCCCACTCACCAAACTGGTGTGGACTCTCGATTAGTAAGAGTCAGAAGAGCTTGGCTAAGATAGCTTTCAGATGTGGGTTCCAATCGCCACCATTTCTCCAGTATTCCACCAAATTCCCGGTGATGATATGTAAAAGAATCACAAAGCATATATAGCGTAATTCTTTATTTGATTCTGACTTTATCAAAGGAACCTTCTAAGCATTACTTTCCAGCCATCCTCCACAACAGATATAATCATTTCAATTTGCCATAAAAACTTTTTAATTGGAACTGCAGTTCCTGTTATTTTTCAAAACCGTCAGAAAAAAAAAAGCTGTGAACCTTGGTACTGTCAGCTACTGCAAACTTCCCCTCTATCTGAGCCTAGACATACAATCAAGGCTAGAAATGAACACATTTTAATTGCGGAAAATGACATGTAGGGAATTACCTACAAAAACTGGAGAGTGCAAAATTTGGTGCAAATCTGCATTGAAACCGATCAGTTTCCAGGTTTTATTGCCAATGCCTAATTGAACAAGCTGAAGTTATAAGCTGATGGCTACCATGCACAGCTGCAGTAGATTCTGAGTGCACAAGTTTTAGTAAATCTACCCCATAGTTTTTGAGACAAAGGGATGGTGGTGAGCTTCTCAACAAGAAAGTGACTGCTTTGGGTTTCAACAAAATGGCAGCCATCTTCAAGAAGAAACAGAACGTTCTGGAGGCAATTTACAGCACACAGTGATTTTGGTAGCTTAATTATTAATGTAGAATCTATGTTGCTTGCTACAGAACATAATTTTTTTAATCAAGTTGTTATGGGTAAAATTACGCTTAAAGGTAAAACACTCACCACTAATTTATCTGTTATATCTGCTGATTGATGCTGGCATTTATTTCTATCTAACTCTTATATCAGATAACGTTGGAGCAATACCTTTAAAGCAATTTCCCAAACATGTTCGTGATCTGCATTCAACGAATGGATTTGCAGAAGAATTTGAGGTAGGTTTTCCTGTGCTATTGTAGGACTAAAAGCATATTTTAGCTCAGTGCAGTGAGAAACATATGCAGTTTTATGGTTTCAGGGTGGAACTTTCCAAGGTAAGAGGCAAGGTTAGTACATACTTTTTTTCTTATATATGTACAACATTTTTCGAGCATACAGTACCAGTGTATTAATGTGTTTTTAATCATCTTCTGGCTGCTGACTAGTGTAATGATCCTTCCTCAGTGAGGCCACATACTCTCCATAACTGCCAATGCTGTAGAGATGAAAGGATGTGACTGCAACAGTGCACCCCTTACCTTCTTGTCTCCCCAGCAACACACAAAACCCTAAGTATTATTTTCCCAGAATGCAAGGTGTTCTGTGAATAGAGGGGAGCATTCCTCTCATTCATCTGCCTCACCTTCATTCACAGAATGTCTTGCATTCTGGGAAAATAATACTAGCAGTGAATGACCAAAGGGACAGGAGGAGGATGCCAAGCAGTTCAGCTCTTCAAGCTGGAAGATCACAGCTCTGGAAAGTATCTGGCATCTAACCAGTAGCCATCAGAACTTGGGATTTGCTTCATTAGAGGTATTATGTTAGGCCTGTGCTGTATGCCTCGAAACCTTTTTCTGGACTTTTTCAGTACAAACAGTATAGGTGAAGTCAAGCATGCATGGGTCACGCTATAACAACCCGATGTCATATTATCATACTTTTATGCAGATTTTTTTTATATGTATTGTATTGGTCGTATATACATACACATTTTCTTTTTTCAATTTTTATTACATAACCATAATCTTTATTTTATGTGGGAATAAGATAATTCACTTAAAATCATTGACATTTGTTAACTTTTCATGAATTTTATTTGAAAGCGGCCATACACTAAAGTGATGTCTTTTGAGTATGACATTTATATATAAAATGATTCAGGCTGAAACATACCATATAAATGCCTGGAAAATAGAGGCTGTTAACCGAGAAAAGTTCATGTTCACTTTGCAAAGTAAATGTCAGTAAATAGGGAGAAGCTGTGTCCACTTTGAATACCCAATCATGCTAGAAAAAAATCCTCTCACAAATGATTGGTTATTCAAAGTTAACACAGCTTCACCTTTTTTCACTAACAATCACTTTGCAAAGTGAACATCTACTTAGCTAGGTGAACAGCCTCCTCTCCCCAGAGTATCACTGGGGCTTTTCAACAGCCATTCAAAAAGCACAGCACAGTATTATATTATATATCCACTTGATCAGATTTGGCTGACTGAATTCATATTAGTGAGAGGTTATCTATGTCTGGTTACTACGGGCCACTTTTATATGAAAATTGTCCTTTATCTTAATGATTAAACCCATAAGTCAGTCAGGTCATTCCCAAAACAACCAGTACCTGTGTATGGTCCCTGCTTATTCTCTCCAGAAATTTGGCATTAATTCTAACCATTAATTCTAACCAGTTATGTTTCATTTGAAGTTTTGTTAATCATTCCTCTTTATGTTTGCATTGTAAAATTTATGTTATTTTTTTCATTCATTCCCTCATTAGACTCTTAAAGCATTTTATCAGGTAAGAGAAATTCAATGCAATATCTTGGAATAGAACATTATCTCCAACTGCTGCAGTTTGTTAGAGCACTTAGAAAATGATTGCTGTCGGATCACATTTAAATGTGGAAATGTACCACAATTAAAGGCCATACTCGACACTGGGCTGAAAGGGAAGTACTGTCATGTTCTGTAGGCTCTATAGCGGCCATGATATGGATTCCTAGTAAGTTTTGCCCCTCTATTTTATGTCTCATGCTGTCTTATTCATTAGCCACATGGGACAGACATCGGACAAGGAAGAAACTCTGCTCACCTCACATGCCACTATCTCCCCTGCTAAATAACCCAGAGTTTACTCAAGCACTTTCCCCACACCTCTTCTGTAAAGGCTTGTTGGGCATAGAAGGCTTTATTGGAACATAAATTGCATTCTTTAGAATTTTACATAACTATACTGCAACTACCTTCTCTGAATTGTTCTGATTATCTTTTATCTGTTGAATAAACATAAAGGGATTAACCATCCCTTATCTTTGACATTCTTTGAGAGCTCTTGTAAAAATTGAAACCTAGTGAAAGACTGTATTTCAATAGTATTCGGCCACTTAATTGATTGAGATCATAAGCTCTCCTATACGGAACACTGGAAAAGAGATCTCAGTATCTCCTGGGAATTATCAGAGTGGCAAGATTTAGCCAACAATCTATCTAAGGTTTCTATCAACTCAACTCTGATGGAATCTAATTACAAAACTCCATTGAGATGGTATATGGTCCCAACTAGGATAGCTAAGATGAATTCACAGGCCTCCTCCAAGTTTTTCAGAAACTGTGGCAAGGAAAGCACAATGTTACATACAGTATTTGGTGGCAGTGGCCCAAAGGTAACTAATTTCTGTTCTGGATCAGATTATTTAAAGTGAAACTAAACTCTCCCAGTCATCACTGATTTATGGTACTAGCATTAGTAAATATGTAGGTAAGTATATCAAATTTACTTGTTTTAAACCTTTTTTTTAACATTTCTTTAGTTACTTTCTGGTTTCCATGCCTAGGCAAATGATGTCATACATTACAGGAGTCTTCAGGAGTGGAGGAGGGGTTTTCTTAGCTAAGTACATACTCCGCCTGCATGCCTAAGCTAAGGGAAGATGGATTCCAAGAAGTAAATGCTACTGCTCTTATTGAAAGCGGCTGCAGCCAGCAATGCTAGGGGGGGGGGTTTTAAAGTGATTTTAAACTGTGCTTTTGGTTTGTGGTGCTCCGATGCAGCGTAGCTTAGCTTTAATTTAATTAACTCAGTAAAATGAATGGGCATTACCAGAATCCTTCTTTTTCAGAAACTAGATCATGATTTTCCAAAAAAAAAAAGAACAGCTTTATCTCCTCCATGATTCTAGTCGCTAGAATAGCTATAGCACATTGTTGAAACCAGACAATAATAGTGTTTGACTATATCAGACAAAGAATTAAACAGGATCATGATTAATGATAATCTTGCACCCTCCACAATAATCAGGCCAAGTTTGACAAGACATGTCAACCATGGATATAATATTTATCAATGGACAAATGAGGTCTGGGAAGCGTTACCTTGGTTGCCCTCGACTTTTCTTTCTTCTTTGTTCCTTCTTTTCCTTGCTTTTCTTCATTATCTAAACTTACATGGTCATGTGTAACTTTCATTATATTGCCCTTTGTTTCTATGGGATTTAAATGAGCATTACACCATACTTAACACATTATTATCACTCACCTTTATTTTTTATACTGGTGAGAGGAATATTTTGACTTTTGCCAATTTTCTGTTACTTTTTCACCAAGATGTGACATCCGTTGCCAATGGTTATATTGCTATGATTTTGGTTTCTGTACACCATTCAGTACACTTATGCCTTTCTGGATATCTTCCTGCCAGTATGGTGTCAGTAAATTTATTTGTTGTCATTTCTTGCACTATATGTATATCTAAAAACCAATAAACAGATTGAAATTAAATGTACAAATGCTCAATTTCTGTTTATTTTCAGGAAGTTCAAAACTGCACTGCTGATTTGGGAATAACATCTGATAGCTCAAACCACCCAGACAACAAAAATAAGAACAGATACATAAACATTGTAGCCTGTAAGTATATAATGATTGTTCAAGATATACCCCAACAATATATGGGTTTTAATACTGGACATCAGCTGATCTTTAATAAAGACAAATTAGCAAGATCCCCTCTCTGTTATATAAAATATCAAGCAGATGTATCTTTGCAGAAAAAGGATATCTTAGGTTTGTCACTTTAGATAAAATTGACCTCTTTCTGCAACATTACATATCTATATGCTAGCTAATATATGATCAAAGAAAATTTTTAGATGTCACAACGCCAAGAAGGTAGATAATATCATGCAATGAAAAGAAATACTTAGTCTCTTGACTATATGTTCTGTTCATTCATTTATGGCTCTTTTAACCATACCGATTTTGTATACACCGAACCTACTACCCCATAATTCCAAAGTGAGGATACTTTCTGCTCCCTGGCAGGATTACTCCTGATTTATCTACGTTTCTATAAAATCATGTCATATGTGTTGGTCATAATGTGAAGATTGAATTAAACCATTCTGTTAGAACTCAAAGAATACTTCATACTCAACAACACCCCATCCATCTCCCCTGTGACCGTCCGAGAGGCACAACCCTTGTACGGGGTTGTACCTTTGAAGGAATACAATATTATGCAACACATTACAGAAAATATTAAATCATTCACATCAACCTTAGATTAGTTTTTTTGGGCACAAGTACCTGAAATAATAAATAATAATAGTTGATCTGAGTTCTAACTGATTTACTAAAACTGGGGAGTGCAAAATCTGGACACTTCGACATAAAAGCCAATCAGCTTCCAATTTTTTTTTTTTGTCAAAGCTTAACCCCTAGACACTGACCCCACGCAAATATGCGGCCTCTTGGTATCTGGGACTTGCCACCGAGCGGCCGCATATTTGCGTGCCATCAGAAAATACATATGTGCTGAGAGCGCGTGCCCTGCGTGCTCCCAGCACATATGTCCGTGACTCATGGAAAGGTCCCGATCTCCCCTTGTGGACCTTTTCCGATCATGTGACCGCCATGATGGCGAATCACGGCGGTCACATGACCCTAAAACCCTGTTCTGAAACTCTTAAAGGGCCGGGAGGCATCGGCACAAAGGGGTTAACTGAACAAGCTGAAGTTAGAAGATGATTGACTACCATAAACAACTGCACCAGATTTTGCACTCTCCAGTTTTAGTAAATCAACTCCTTACAGTCTAACATTATTACTGCAGTTATTGAGCTGCATATATATTAGAAAATGTCATAATGTTGATGGCTTTGCATTCACTATTGTAGACTAATATTTTTACCAATTAAACCTGCCACATCCAATTTTATCTGTTTTTACTTTTATGCTAATGGTCATGTTACACATGTGGTTTTGTAGCAGTAATTTGTATCAACTACAGAATTGGCTGTCCTTAGTGTTTTTGTTGATAGAAAAAGAAAATGATTTGTAGCTCCGTTGCTAATAATTTGAGTTTTTACAGAATGTGGAGCTTAATGTGGGAACACATAACAGTGGATTAGCTGCAACATAATTTGTGCTACACTTTTGTAATACATTTTTTCATACATTTTTTTGGCAGTGTGGGATATATATATATATATACATACATATATACAGTCAACAGCTAAAGACCTCCAAACTTCATGTGGCCTTCAGATTAGCACAACAGTGTGTAGAGAGCTTCATGGAATGGATTTCCATGGCCGAGCAGCTACATCCAAGCCTTATGTCAAGAAGTGCAATGCAAAGTGTCAGATGCAGTGGTGTAAAGCCTGGACTCTAGAGCAGTGGATATTTGTTCTCTGGAGTGATGAATCATGGTTCTCTGTCTGGCAATCCAATGGACATGTCTGAGTTTGGCGGTTGCCAGGAGAGCGGTACTTGCCTGACTGCATTGTGCCAAGTGTACAGTTTGGTGGCAGGGGTATTATGGTTTGGGGTTGCTTTTCAGGGGCTGGGGTTGGGCTTGGCCCCTTAGTTTCAGTGAAGGGAACTCTTAAGATGTCAGCATACCAAGACATTTTTGACAATTTCATTCTCCCCATTATGTGGGAACAGTTTGGGGATGGCCCCTTCCTGTTCCAACATGACTGTGCACCAGTGCACAAAGCAAGGTCCATAAAGACGTGGATGAGCAAGTTTGGGTTGGAAGAACTTGACTGGCCTGCACAGAGTCCTGACCTCAACCCGATAGAACACCCTTGGGATGAATTATAGCGGGGACTGTGAGCCAAGCCTTCTCATCTGACATCAGTGCCTGACCTCACAAATTTGCTTCTGGAAGAATGGTCAAACATTCCCATAGACACACTCCTAAGTATGTGTCTTATCCCAGAAGAGTTGAAGCTGTTATAGCTACCAAGGGTGGGCCAACTCAATATTGAACCCTACAAACTAAAACTAGGATGCCAATAAAGTTCATGTGCGTGTAAAGGCAGGCATCCCAATACTTTTGGTAATATAGTGTATATGTATAGTGATATATTGTAGATTAAAAAAGTTAGTCACCATGTATGATGGACTTGTCCAATAGCTCAAGTGTTATGGGAGCAAGTATATTACATGTTAAACACATTATTAGTCATCACCAGCACCATGCTTCCAGTGAAGCACTGCTTAAAGTGTTACTAAATCCACAACAGTAAAATCAGTCTGTATATGCAGTAAAGCATGCTTGTTATAATCACTGTGAAACCTAAGGGGTTAATCCTCCACATTTTGTAAAAAAGGATGTTTGATCCTGTCTTCTCTGATCCTCCCCTTCTTTTACTGTCTCCAATCCTTCTGCCATAATACAGAGCAGCAGTGGCAAGTCTGCACATACTCTGTTTGGTGTGTATTGCTAGAGAGTATTTTTTGGAGTGTGCATGTGATCAGCACAGGACGAATCAGCACTGTCCGGACAAAGGGTCAGGGGTCATGCAGCCTTATAGGACAGTCAGAGGAGAATGAAAACTCCTCCTACAAAATTAACTAGTGCTCAGCCAGACACTAATTTAAGTCACAAGACTGCTGTATACTGCTGATGAGAAAAGGTATTTAGCAGTTTATATTTACTAAAATATTTGCATTTGCATGTTCTGTTTACTGTGGAAGACCAGATATAGTGAATGCAGGGTCCTGGGTTTAGTAACATTTTAAGCTCATGCCGATGGCCTCTTGAAGCATCAATTCAAACTAATATCCCATGTTTTGACTTCAAAGAAGCAATAGAAAAAGCCTGGCTGTCTGACTTACTTTCATTATCTGAGGTTAAAATAGGCTTCACTTGGCTTTCTTTAATGTGAAATTGACAGCAAAACTTTCTGACACCATGCCCAAATGCAGAAAAAGCTGAGACCCATGGGTGTCACACTTCTTAACAGCGAGCTTTGGTAGACCTGATATGCCTTGCCCTTCGGGCCTGATATAACTCTCCTTGGCTTTGCAACATTCAGTTCCCCTTCCTGTACCTTTCTTTGTCCCTCTCTAGCTAATACCTACAGTATCTATCCTCAACTACATCATTTTAAAATATTACCAATTTTATGTCTCTTTTGTCAGATACTTGCAGGCAATTCTTTATTGTTCATCCTTGATATCATTCTAATCTAAATGAATACTATATTGTGTTCCTGTATGATATGTTATTAGTACTGTGGTTATCTGATTACCTGTATATTCTGTAACTTCAATACAAATTATTGAATTAAAAAAGTTATTTAAAACATTTCTATAAAGAAATAATGAATTGCTGAGTTTTAAAAATAATGATGATCTTCAAGATATATTGGTTGTTACATATCTGCATATACTTTAAATTATGTTTTTTTTTCTTGAAAGATGATCACAGCAGAGTTAGGCTTTCACAAATGGGAGACAAAGATGGAAAGACGACTGATTACATAAATGCAAATTATGTTGATGTAAGTAAATTAGCTATCATTTTCTGCTTACAGTTACATATATACTAGTTTGACTTGATCTGCATCAGGGCCTGATCTAGACTGTCTGATGTAGGGGTTCAGAAAAAATCTTGGGGGGGGCAGAGGAAGTGAGGTCAGCAGGGCAGTGTACAGGGAGCCAGCAGGGCAGAGGATACGGTCCGCAGTTTATAGGGCAGTCTACAGAGGTCATTAGTTTGTAGGATAGTGTACAGTGGGTTATCAGAGCAGAGGACAGTGTGCAGCGGGTCAGCAGAACAGAGGACAAGGGGCAGCAAGCTGGAGAAAAGGGGTTGTCAGGTCAGCAGTGCAGATGACAGGAGTCAGTAGGGCATAAGACATTGGTCAGAAGAGAAGAGGACAGGGTCACTGCTGGCAGATCACTCAACAGGTCTCCTCCTCCCTTCCCCACACTGCAAACAGCTTGGATACTCAGATCTCCTCCACCCCACACAGCATATAGCCAAGATCAGATTCTCTTACAGACACAGTATCCATCTGCACAGTGTGTAGCTGGCTACAGATCAAGGCTGTGTCTGTAAGGAAATCCAATCTCAGCTATGTGATGCGAGGAGAGGGGCAGGGGTGGGCTGAAAACTCATGGGGCCCCCGGGCAATAGGGGATCATGGGACCCCTGTGTCCTTGCCCAAACTCAAAAAAGCCTATGAAAAATGTACCAGGGGCATCTCATGGGGCCCCCTACTGACCCTGGGCCCTCGGGCAGTGCCCGAGTTTCAAATGGTCAGTCCGCCCCTGGAGAGGGGATATATTGAGTGCCCTCATTTCATGGCTCATCATAAATCTCTCCTCAAAAAAAAAAAGCAGTACTGATCAGGACCCTCACACTCTAAGCATAAATTCCCTCTGCAAGCCAATGGCATAATGCAAAATTTCCCCTCCTCCAAATCCCCCCTCTCAACACAAATCTTTGCCACTCAATCCAACCTCCCAGCTCATATCTCCAATTCTCTCTGCAAAAATCTCCCCTATCCAAAAAAAAATCCCCCCCCCTCTAGCACACATCTTCTTTTCAAATTTCTGATCCTAGCATCCTATCCTATTACTCTTCCCAGCACAAATCCTCCCTCCCCACCCAAACCCTCCATCATTGGGACACCATCATTGGTGTCAGTGGGAGGAATAGTGCCCCATCATTAGTGTCAGTGGGAGGAATTGTGCCCCATCGTTGTCAGTGAGTGGAGCTCTAATAGGAAGAGGTGGGACCTAAAGAGGAAGGGGTGGGGTTTGCAGCTAAAAGGGTGGGGCAAATTTAGATGCAGGGGGGTGCCCGATTTTAGTCTTGCCTAGGGCAGCACAAAACCAAAATACACCACTGCATAGCAATCTGCATGAAAAAGCTGATGATGTCACTGACATCAAATGTATCATCTCTGGGCTGATAAGTGATTGTTAAGGTATTTTAAAAAAATAACAAACATGTCATACTTACCTGCTTCGTGCAATGGTTTTGCACAGATCAGCCCCAATCCTCCTCTTCTGGTGCTCCCGATGGCACTCTTGGCTCCTCCAACCTTTCCGAGTACCCCATAGCAAGCTGCACTCATGTGGGCTTGATCCTGACAGCATGGCTCCCCTCCCCTGTGTACTCACATGTTGTGATTGACAGTAGCAGGAGTCAATGGCTCCCACTGCTGCCTCCATGCCCAGTGAGCAGTGAGAGAGAGGAGAGAGCCGCTGCTCTCAGGCACAGCACTGGATCAAGATCGCAGTCAGGCACTGTAAGTATTTAGAGGGGATTGGGGAGGGGCAGTTGGACACAGAAGGTTTTTTACCTGAATGCAAAGAATGCTGAGAAAGTGCTGTGGGTAGGACAAACCATTTCCTCAGTCTTTTATTACCAAGTGATCAGAATGCTAAAACAGGTGTAACCATTTCCTCACTATTCTCTTTCCCAGTAATAAGAATCCTGCAGGCAGGAGGAAACCTTTCCTCTATCTTTTCTTCCCCAGTGATCAGAATACTGTAAGTATGGGGAAGTGTTTCCTCTCTCTCCTCTCAGAGGAAGCATTTCCTCCGTTATCTCTCCTTCAAGTTATATTAAAGTAACTTTTTCATAAATAAAAAAGACGTTTATACTTCTGTACTCTGTGCAAAGGTATTGCACAAAGCGATCCCTTACCTCATTTGGTGGTCCCCCGCTGGCGCTGTCCAGCCCTCCTCTTCTCCCAGTGCCCCCATAGCAGGCTGTGTGCTTCGGGAGCACTTGTGCAGGCCTTTATAACCGCTTTCAGTGTTTAAACAGCAACATCCTAAATTTGTAGCAAGTCACAAGGTCAGAGGCTGCAGCAGCGGCAGATATTTGTCAGACAACACAGCCAAGAAGTGCTTGATCTTTACATGATCGTGTCATCCCTGAGTCAACATCTCAGTCCAGAAAGTAGATGCTGAACCTGGATGATGCCTGAAAAAAGATGGCGTCATTTTTCTGGAGAGGAAAAAACCTTCATACCTGTAAATGTTCTACTTCCACATTATTTGCATGCAGTGAACATGAAAAACATATGTGATGCAAAATATTTCACAGCACAGTTAATAATTGTTTTTGTCTTGTAGGGCTACAACAAGCCCAAAGCATATGTTGCTGCTCAAGGACCACTAAAATCAACTGCAGAGGATTTCTGGAGAATGATATGGGAGCACAGTGTAGAAGTTATTGTCATGATCACCAACCTGGTTGAAAAAGGAAGAGTAAGTCACAGGAAGTTTCCTTAAAGTGTCACTAAACCCACATCATAAAAAACTATCAGTAAATGCTGTATTACATGCTGTTCATACTAACTCAGTAACTATGAGATTCGTTTTCTGTATTCTGCAAAAAACCTGGTTAATCCTACTGCTCTCTCTCCACCTCCTGTTCATGTCCCCAATTCAGCTAGGGTTTTTGCAGCTGTAGAGGCAACTCTGCACATGCTCAGTTTTCAGTGAGTGTCTATGCTGAGCATTTCCTCCTTATCACATATGGGCAGCCCATGTGACTATAGAGTCATACATGTGCGTGTATACAAAGTGATAAATGACAGCCCACTTCCTCTCTCCTCCTCCATGCCCACTAACAAGCTAAACACAATAAGTGCAAGATTTGACATTCAGATTGATGGAGGAATTACCTCTCTCTTATTCTAAGACACAGGCTGGAGGGGTGCAACACAGCCTGTGACTGACAGAAATCCTCACACGCCATGTTAATTCCAAAAAATAATAAATATATGATTTCAAATATACATTTGTATGCCAATTTAAAACAGTTTATTGATATTATTTATTTATTTTTACTCAATATTCCAAAGGCTCTTTTTTATTTTGAAAATGTGACCAGTAGCAGAGGACTAGATGCTCCTTCTGCCTATGCTTCCCTGCAGACAGGCTGGGAAACATATGGGTTATGTGACAGCTATACACTCACTGGCAATTTTATTCGGTACTCCTGTTCAATTCCTTTCTAATCAGCAAATCACATGGCAGCAACTCAATGTATTTAGCCATCTAGATGTGGTGAAGACAACTTGCTGAAGTTTAAACTGAGAATCAGAATGGGGAAGAAAGGGGATTTAAGTGACTTTGAATATGTGGCATGGTTGTTGATGCCAGACAGGCTGGCCTTAGTATTTCAAAAACTGCTGATCTACTGGCATTTTCACAGACAACCATCTCTAGAGTTTACAGAGAATGGTCTGAAAAAAAAAGAAAATATTCAGTGAACGGCAGTTGTGTGCATGGACATGCCTCATTAATGTCAGAGGTCAGAAGAAAATGGGAATTGTGGTTCAAGATGATAGAAAGGCAACAGTAACTCAAATAACAGGTATGTGCCACTCGTTACAACCACGTTATCCAGAATATCATCTCTGAATGCACAACATCTCGAACCTTGAAGCAGATGAGCTGCAGCAGAAGAAGACTACACCGGGCGCCACTCCTGTCAGCGAAGAACTGGACACAGAGGCTACAATTTGCACAGGCTCACCAAAATAGGACAATAGAAGATTGGAAAAACTGTTCCCACTCAGATATTTATTTGTAAAAAATGTTGAAAACCATTGATCATTTTCCTTCCACTTCACAGGTATGTGCCACTTTGTGTTGGTCTATCACATAAAACCCTAATAAAATACATTTACGTTTGTGGTTGTAACATGACAAAATGTGGAAAATTTCAAAGGGTATGAATACTTTTTCAAGGCACTGTATATCACTCCACTTTATGTTAATGTAATATCATACAGTATAAAATAAAATATATATAAAAAATATTCAGAATGTAAAATATACAGTATAAAGTAAACAAATGAATGTGAAGTATAAAAGTTTGGCAAAAGAACCATACTACTGAGCTCATCCCAAGATGGCACCCCTTTACTTTACAAAAAACACCAATATATGTTACATGCTCATCATTCATATATGAATAAATCTATGTCTATTCCTAGCACTCCTATCTATTCCCAAAATGTGAAATCAAATGTTTCTGCATATATTCCCTTCATATCTAAGGGTCAAAAATAAAAACAGATGAAGTCCTCATGAATGCACCACTTTCCGTTTTTGATAATTGTATTTTCCAGTTACCTCCCCTCCAATACCCCTATGCCCCAAAACTGCAGACCTTTTGGGCTCTTATTTGTGAAATTATTTGCTTTATTAAGTTATAATGAATGCAGATTTATAGCACAATACATATTATATATTCAGTCAGTTGAAGTACTTTTCAAATTACAAAGAAAAGTAAAATAAATATTCAGCCAAGCTACTGAATACACAGTTAAAATACATACTGTATATACAATAGGCATTTGCTTTCTGCGCTTCTCTGAGGTGAGGGGACTCTATGTCCAGATACTTTCAGATGTATGTTAATCTTGGCATAAACAGCAAAATGTGTGTACTATTTATAACTGAAGTTAAGTAAAAAGAATGTTGTTTTTTTCCAGAGAAAATGTGACCAGTATTGGCCAAGTGATGGCAGCGAAGAATATGGCACTTTTTTGGTCACGCAGAAAAGCATTCAAATCCTGGCCTATTACACTGTGCGCATCTTCACTCTTCGAAACACCAAGATCAAGAAGGTTTGTGTAACAGCATATAAATCTAGAGCAGAGTATTAGCCTAAGTAAAGTAGGCCTTGCATAGATATAAATATGTTAAAAAAACAATGTTGGATGTCAAAATCTCATGCACTTTTAGGCCTAAGGCACATAAAATTCCCTGCCATAGGTGTTGCCAACAGCTGGCCTTGGAAATAATTTTAGAATTACTTCTGGTAAAATAAGGGACAGGGGGTGGAACAAGGCATGGGGTTAATAGCTGAACTGTATTCAATGGGCTGACAGACACAGGCATTTGTTCTGGACGATGATGTTGCCTCTTCTTGGTGCCACAGAAGTCCCCCCTTCACAACAGAAAAAGGTATGGGAATGTCATATTCTAAATTCCCAAATTTCCCATATGAAAAGCAAAGATGGTCCGGTAAGCTGCACTCCAATCAATCCACTTTATTAGGCATACAATAATTGTATTTCCACTGTCTGTCATTTGGTTTTATTGTATGCCTAATAAAGTGGATTGGTTGGAGTGCAGCCAACTGGACCTTCTTTGTTTTTCATTATGCAGCACACGAACTGGGCTGGCACCCATAGGAGGAATAGGGCTTGGATATTGGCTTCTTACCTGAAGCAGCGGTAACATATGTGTGAATGTATTCCCGTACTTTTATTATATGAGTATGACCTTTTTTCACCTGCCTACATGACTGCAAAGGTAGACATGCATAGCAAGCGAGAGGCAGGTGACACCTCTTTCCAGCTCATGAAATGTCAGGTATGTTTCATTCAGAATAGATTTCGTCTACTCACTCATGCTGCCGCTGACTCCCCTGGTCTCTGTTCCACTCCTGTAATTTGTGAGATCACTCCTCTGTACTGTTGGAGAAGGGAAAATAGTGCCTCCTGATAGTCCAAAATCCATCTTCTATTGCATAGCAAGCACACTCCTCCAGCACCAGGGTTCACCACTGCAACTCTTGTACAACAGCCCTTACCTGAAATCATCTTCCAACAGTCCTCACATCTACCACCCATCTACCACCCTTTTCCAACACTGCTTCCTTCATCAAACACTGCTCGCTTCTGCACCCTAGTGCATACCTCTTCAAACACTGCTCACTGTTGCATCCTCTGTCACCTTAACTCTACCTCCCTTGGCATGCCCTGCCTCCTTGTTCCAACACTGCTTATCCTGACTCTCGAAAGCTACTGCCAAGACTCCCAACTCCTGTTGTGTACCCAAAAATTGTAGCAGGGTTGTAACTTGTCACTTTACTGCTGTGACAGCGGCCCCCTGAACCCCTACTGAGGATGCCTGTGTCCCACTCCAGCAGTGCTCTGTGCAAGCTTTGCCACCACCCAGTGTGAATCATTTCCTCTTCTGCAGCAGCTGACACCATGATTCATGACCTTCTGGTTAATTGATGCTTGGGGTGAGCATTCCTTGTGCAGAGACAGGTGCATGGTGCAGCGTTGGAACTGTCTATCACAGTGATGGGCAGCACATTCCACAGCACCTATTGGCAGCAGGAGGTGGGGACAAACTTCATCCTGTATTGAATCAACAGAGGACACAGCATTTCAATTTGTAATCCAGGACAGTCCCATATAATACCAGACGGGCAGAAGCCCTTTGTTGGTATCACCCTGCAACTAATTTTGATTGGAAAATTGTTGGCTGAACAGTGACTGCATCCTAGCAAATCCAGTCCCTGTTCAGGTATTCAGATAGCCACAGGTGTTATGGCTGTCTGAATACAATAGCCGACAAAGAGTCATCCATCCACGCTGTTCAGCCTGTGGGGCTGCAATAAAGAAGTGTATAGGACTAGCAGTAAACCACCTGGCAGTTACTTAAATCTCTTAATGAATCTATTGCTTGAGGTTTCTAGGTTAACTTATTTGTGGTGACCATTAGATATTTGTAGGAATTTTTGTTTTATTTAAATTTTGATGAATGTAACAGGAGGTGCTGTAACTATTATAGTTGGGACACTACTTGCTGTTGCAGTATTGTAGATATACTGTATAAGAAGGCAGGGTTTGATTCAGCCCAACATACCCTAATCCAGTTTTTACAGCATATATTGAGAATTCCATCAGCAACCTTTATCTCTGCATCTGCTGATCATTTGACTATGTGGTTTCACTGAATGTAAACTTTTTTTCCTTCCCACACCCATGTGATTGGGTTAAAAGTAATTCAACTGATGTGCTATTATTCACTATGCTAAGTGTACAGCCCTCATTCCTTTAAAAATTGACCTTGACACCTTGGGGTTGATTTACTAATTTGTTGTCCTTATTGATAAAGAGTCTCTTCACTTCCTGCCCCACTGATGGTGGTCACTGAGACATGAGATATCTCTCTAATAGGGACATATACTGCAATCAAAACATATCAATAGCCTGGGGAAGGGTTAGAACTGTATCATGTTTTTGTTGCTGTTTGCAATCTCAATGGCCAGTTTCCCTTTACTTCCTGCCTCAATGACAGTGGTCACGTGTAGTGATGAGCCAGACTGCACTGGGTTTGGATTGAGTAGGGTTCATTGATCATGGCAGCTGAATCTGTCCAATTAAAAATACCTATTTTGAGGCTAATGGGAAAGGGGGTGTCATAAAAAAGGTTGGGGGGGGGGGGGGGGTACTGGCCTTGGGAACATGCCAATGTAAAAAACATTTAAAAAAAATCAGTTTGGCCAGTAGCATTGATTTTTTAATTGCTTAAAGTGGTAACATTGTCCAATTCTTTTAAAGGATAAGTTCACCTTTTGGACAAAAATAATTAATGCATATTTGTTTGCAGGTAAAAAATTAGTATTTATTATTTTTGTCCAAAGGAGCCTGTAAAGCATGGCACCAACGATCAGTGGATCACTGATGCCATGCAGGTCTCCTGAAGATCTGCTTGCTGTACAGGATGTATGAGTAAGTAGATATTCTGACAGGAAGCTTCAATGAACTACCACGGCGCTCCACAGCTCTGTGGTAATTCATTGAAAACTACAAGCCCACAGCCGCTAAGGCTGTCGGGACTTTTGGACACTCATTCACAGAACTCTGTAAATGAGTAACGCGACCATGTGGACGGAGCAACGTATGGCCGCACTGTTTTCAAATCTGACAGATAGTACGGCAAGACTTCTCCCCATACTATCTGTCAGAGTGAGGAGGGATGGCAGGCGCAGCTATGGGAACATGTTACATGTTCCACCCTAAAAACGGGTGTAACATATAACATGTTCCAAAGGTGAAATTATCCTTTAAATGACATAATACATATCCTAATCCTGCCTGTGAAGGGGTGCATCTTTGTGATGTACAGAAAGTGCAGGAGCAGCACTGACATTTACAAGAAAGTGTTTAAAATTGTCAACAAATTACTTTCACAGCTGTCATTGCTGGCTTCCTTGATTTTAAAAAGAACAGAATACAGACCCCCTTCACGGGTCTGTTATGTTTTGTTTTTGTTTGGGGGGGGGTGGCATTTGGAGTGGTCAATATGCTGCTTTATAATGTTTTTTTTTTTAAAACTGTGTCATTATTTTCTCTGTATCTGACATTGTTGCCGTAGCACACCCTACAGCAAGAATGAAAAAGAAAATGGGAGTCCCTCCCAAAATGCATAGCAGACCCTTTGTGTACCTCACACAAACAAAAACCCTCAGGTCTGGTACAAATTTTAAGGGCGGACTCCATGCAAAAAAAACCCCAAAAAAACGAAAAAAATCTCAATGTCCTCCTAGAAATCTATAACAGCACCTTAACCTAAGAATGCATCCTCAACATGGGGTGGGGGTAATATCTGATGAAGACAAGACCTCCTCCCCACAACCTAGAAATAAATAAGTCACCCAAATGTTCAACACATCCTTTAAAAAAAATAAAATCCCCAAAGCATGTTGTAAATCATCAATCAAAATACCTGCCACCCGCTGACTGAAAAAAAACACCTGATGACCAGGCGCACATGACCGATCCTGGTGATACCACTAGTTCCTCAAGCTGTCAGCAGCAAAAGGGAAGGGGCAGGGATAAAAGTGACATCATTGACCAAACATGGCTTATTTGGGCAATGATGTCACTGCTATCCCCTTCCCCCTTTGCTTAAAAGGAGCAGGGATTCCCCATGATGTCAATATTGCCTAGGGACAATGTGGGTGCAAACACCCATGGCTTCCTTAGGAAGCAGTTGCAGTGGGGAGCTGTCATATCTGGAAACTGTAGCAATAATGCTTCTATATGTGATGCATGGCTCCCACCGAGCAGGGTGCTGAACGGGTTAAAGTTCATGCATTCGTTTGAACACCCAAACAACCAATGTTCAATGCAAACCATCATCTCATCCCTAGTTACCAGGCATGACACTTGGGTGGAAATATCCCTAATGGAGATGCAAACAAAAATAAAAACCTTACAAAAGTTCTAATAACCCCTAGTTAATAGAAAAAAAAACTTGTTTTGAAAAAAATGCAAAGGTTGGTTCGTAATTCATAAATCAATTTCAATTCTCATGTGATATTTATTTTTTTCCTTAGGGTTCCCAAAAAGGGAGAGGAATTGAGCGTGTGATTACACATTACCATTATACACAATGGCCTGACATGGGAGTTCCTGAATACACTCTTCCAGTTCTTACATTTGTCAGAAAGGCTTCAGCTGCCAAGAAATCTTCCAGTGGACCTGTCGTTGTACACTGTAGGTATGTCATCGAAAGCAATTGCTCCATAGTGGGGTAAATGTCACTATCCAGCTACTGCAAACTCCAAGAGATCCCATGCTCATATTTTTATTTGTCGTTCAGCCTTCTGACTGCAACAATGGCTTTTTTACTGGTATCTACATTTCTATAAAACATGTATTTTAAACCTAAAAACAAGACAAAATATGATACATGTCTACAGACATTCTAAATCATCTGTACTTATGGGATATAATTTTCCTTATGTTTATGCAGTTTCAAGTGCTTTCCAGTGGATTGATACTTGCTTTCATTGACTAATGCACCATTAGCAAGACGTATTCATTAGTGTCTTCTATCCAGCCATCATCCTTGTGGCACCTGATTATCTGGCAGATCATTTCACAAGCTGTGTTATCAGTGAACAACTAGTTCAACCCTTTTAAGCAAGGATCACGTATTTATTAATTCACGTAAACGAATGCACTCATGGCTTGATTTTATTTATTGTTCTCATTTAATCACAAAAATAAGTATATTCCAACAATCCATTGAAAATTTCCAGGCAAGCAAATGCCACTGTGGCTGACTGCATGCACGCATTATTCCTTTTGTAGCCAGGGTAAATCTGTTTTGAGACACTTATCTATTCTCCTGCAATACAAAAGATGGTATGATAGTTCTTGTTTTTTCCTGCCAGTAGTTATGATTTAGATTCCTAAAGAGCCCTCTACATAACCTATTGAAAATTAATAATTCATATACTAAACAAATAATATATATTTTAAAGGAGGTTGGTTAATGGTACAGATACATACATTAGTGGAAAATACTGTTCAACCAGCAGAACAATGAGGCACAGTAAACCAAGGCCAGGAAAGAAAGTATAATATGCAGAAGAGGAAGATTGCTTGGGCACAAGTCTGACACAGATCACAACTCTGTTATTTTTTTTTATAATCAGTATACAATAATTGGGCAACTAAGCAGCAGAAATTCACAGGAATGTTTGCATTGTGATCTATCTCCCCCTGTTTTGCTGTATAACTGTGTACTATAAAGAGACAATTCCATAGATTTTTTTCTTTTAGGTACTTATATAGTGCCATCAATTTACGCAGCGCTTTACATATATAGTGTACATTCACATCAGTCCCTAACCCTCAAGGAGTTTACAATCTAAGGTCCCTAACTTACATTCATACATACATATACTAGGGCCAATTTAGACAGGAGCCAATAAACCTACCAGTATGTCTTTAGAGTGTGGGAGGAAACCAGAGTATTATTTATTATTTTTATTGGTAGTTATATAGCACCATCACATTTACGCAGCGCTTTACAAATATATATATTTTACATTCACATCAGTTCCTAACCCTCAGGATGTGTACAATCTAAGCTCCGTAACTCACGTTCATAAATACACTTACTAGGGCCAATTTAGACAGGAGCCAATTAACCTACCAGTGTGTCTTTAGAGTGTGGGAGAAAACCGGAATACCCGAGGAAACCCATGCAGGCACAAGGAGAACATGCAAACTTCAGGCAGGTGGTTCCGTGGTTGGGATTCGAACCAGCAACCCTAGTGCTGCCAGGCAGGAGTATTAACCATTTAGCCGCTGTGCTGCCCTTCTGTAAATGTTGTGCTGCTGCCTTGAACAAATGTCATGACACTGGTGAAACCAATCCTGAGGTCTCTCTCTCCCATAAATTCATCTATATACCCCTATTCCTGTTCATCAGCTTACAAAACAGGGTATCTTACTACAAACCTGTTTTTAATTTTGTGTTGGTGTGTGGGAACTGGATATAAAGATACAGTTTGTTTGATTACTAGAGATGTGTATATCAGTGTGCATGAATCATCTTTCAGCCCCATTCAGATCAACAAATACCTAAATACCCAAATATGCGTAGTTATCCAATTCCCTCAGCAGCTAAAGCTCATGTCTTCAAACGTAGTTCACCAGGGTAGGGAGTAGCTAGCTGTACATAAACCCCTCTTTCACAGTTGGAATTTTATATTACTTGTACCATGGGTAGTATACCTTTGTACAGAACCTGCCTTCTTTACCTCCCAATCAAAATAATATGGATTTTTCATTCAAAGTTTAGTGGCGCTATTAAAAAAGCATTGTAGCCTATTATTTAATATTTGAATTCACAAAATAAAAGCATTACTACATGTTTAGAAATATTGATAGTTATTTTCACCAATAATTCCTATTTTATACATCTGTCTGTTTATTTTTACAAGAATACAAAGGTTTTGAACTACTGAATACCCTTTTAACAGTTTTTCACATCAGGCTTATTTCTGCTGTTACTTTGTTCTGCAGTGCTGGAGTGGGAAGGACTGGAACATACATTGTTTTGGATAGTATGCTTCAGCAAATTCAGCAAGAAGGAACAGTAAACATTTTTGGCTTTCTAAAACATATTCGCTCTCAAAGGAATTATCTGGTGCAAACAGAGGTAAAAATATAAAGAGAACATTTCCATATACAATATATGCTGACTTTGTGTGTTTCAATAGGCAGAATAAAAAATGACATACAGACATATATGATAGAGACTTTGACCACAGTAGCATATCAGTGGTTGTTCCCCATTGTAAAATAGTTTTATGATCTAACAATAGAGTTATGATTTTTTCACTAACTTAAGGCAAGCCATTTAGGCAAAAAAATGGAAGTAAACAGGCAAGATGTCCTGCAAAAGTGGCAATTACATTCAGCGGCATAGTATGAGAAGGGCCACAGGGGTGGTTGCCATGGGCAAAAAATTCTTAGGAGCACAAAAGGATTTGCACTGAGCCCACATCCCCCACAGTACAGATCTCCCCTAACATCCCTAAATTCCTCTTCCCAGCCTACCTCCTCAGTAAAGACCACCCAGCACAAACCCGTCCCCACAATAGACCAACCCCCAACACAGACCCCCCCCCCTTCCCCACTCCGCAGACCTTCAATATAGACAACCCCCCCCAGCACAGACCCCTCAGCACAGTCAGACACATCCAGCACAGAGCCCTCAGTACAGACAGACCCCCGTCAAGACAAACCCCCAGTAGACTCCACTTCCAGCACAGACTGAGCCCCTCAGCACAGACAGACACCTCCACCACACAGCCCTCAGTACAGATAGACCCCCCCCCCCATCGACACAAAACCCAGTACAGACTCTGCTCTCTGTACAGACTCACCCCCTCAAAATAGACCCCTCAGCACCGATAGACACCTCCAGCACAGACAGAATCCCCCTCGACACAAAACCCCTAGTACAGACTCCACTCTCAGCACAGACTCACCCCTTTAACACAGCCCCCTCAGCACAGACGACTGCCACCCTCCCCCCCATAGCACAGACCCTTTATTACAGACCAGCCCTTAGTACAGACCAATATTCCCCAACAGTACAGACTGTCCCCCAACAGAAAAGACTGACCCCCCCTAACATTCCTAAATCCCACCCTAGTACAGACCCCTCATTGCATACACCTTTACCCCATAGTATATACATCCCTCCCCCGAGCATACACCCCTCAGTACACGATTTTCTCCCCAGTACAGATGCCCACTCTCCCAGAGTACAGAATCCTCAATACAGACACCCCCCTCCCCCTACACTCTCTTTGATATGCAGGAGCTCAGTGGGACAGGAATTCATCTCAGCTCCAACATATTGGAATAGCAGGGGAGGAGACTTCCTCCCATGCAGAGCCCCCCCCCCCCCCCTTTTCACTGAAGCACCAAGGGAGCACTCACTGGAGGTGCCACAGACTCCTGACAGTTTTCTTTTTTTCGTGCGGCACGGCACTGCAGAGCATCGCTCTGCAACTCAAAAAGATAAATGTCAGGCAGCTGCAATGTCCCCAGTGAGACTGCGCCATCCTTAGTACATCACTGCCTGAGAAAAGACAAAAACAAATTTACAATCAGTTGGAAACGCATTAATATCAGCATATTTGCCTGACTGCAGTTATAACAATGCTTTTCAAAAATCCTCCAGTACATTTATAAAGCACAGCACAGGGAGTAAAGTCTCTTTCTACTGTATATGAAACCAGTAATCAGCCACCAGATTTTTTATGCTTTGTGTTATTTCACTAATTAGACATGCATTGTTCATGTATGCCATGAGCTACAGTCATTGTTAATGCTCATCCTATTGTTCTATAAGCTCTCAGCCTCATATCATGAAAAATAATAGAGCAACCTAAATGTAATGATAGGTTATACTGTGTGTATACCAAAGACAACAGAAACAAATTCACCACCAAATGAACATATTGTATTTACAGAAATATTACGACCAGATGGGATATTGAATTTTAGTAAACTGTTTATGATACACTTCTTTATCTTTTCCAACAAGCCACATTCCACTATGCCGAATCCTTTGTAAGCTGATTGGACATGTCAATACTAAATGATTTCAGACTAAAATAACTTAATATTTATTATAAATACTCCTAGGAGCAGTACGTCTTCATTCACAATGCTTTAGTGGAGGCTATTCTAAGCAGAGAAACAGAGGTACCAGAAAATCACATTCACGCCTATGTTAATGCTCTTCTAACAACGGGCCCATCTGGGAAAACAAGACTGGAGATGCAGTTCAAGGTAAGTCATGTACTATTTCATGAACCCTGAATCAATGGTATTTTTTGCATTCCTTTATTTTTTGTGAATACTTCTTTTGAGGACAAAATGTAGATGTTCTAATATAATTTTGCAGATGTAGTGCATTTACCTTGAGCTTTGTAAAAAGGTCTAATCATAAATTTAATCTTGGACATTCTAGCAGGTTCTACAACACATTATTACTGACAGAAAAGTCTGATAAAATGACATGCTGTACATAATAAGAAGCAATTCTTCCTGAATGAATAGAAAACAGAAGCACATTCCTTTTTATTTATTAGCAGAATGTGCACTGAGAGAAAGGCAACCTTTTTTTAAGAAGAAGCCTTGAACAGTGTAACCTTATGAAACAGACAATGTTCTTCTTGTGGCCAGTTTCAAGAGCACGAGACAGAATCCAAGAGTCTAATAAACACTTTTCAGTATAGGAAATTGACGTTAAAAAGGGCCGTCATTTATAGGAGAATGTAGTCATGAATTTTGCTAATAACCTCATGTCATGTTTTTTTTCATTTAAACATAGTAGAATACAATTGAATTGAGCATGGATCATTATGTTCTACAGTTACTTTCATTTATCTTAGAACCTTTTCCTGTTTTGCTTATTGTTGAAGAAAAACTTTTCTGTTGTCCTTTCAGATGCTGAGTGAACCCAACATCCTCCAGTGTGACTACTCCACAGCATTAAGGTCACAAAACAGGGATAAAAACAGAACGTCATCCATCATACCAGGTAAGTGGTTACAAAGTTGTCTTTCTTTTTCTTCTGCCTATGTATGTAAATGTCCTAAATCTAAAATCTAAACAGATTTTTTTTTACATCAACCTGTCATGATTGATTACACATCTTCCATTTAATATTTCAATGACTATCAAACATGAGTGCTTTATTATGTAGAGTGCTTTAATGCTACCAATATAAACTAGAAAATCTACAATTTCTGGGGAAATTGTGTGAAGTGTTCTTGCCTCCACCAGTAGTCTACAACTCACACTCTAGCTTTCGTCACTCTGCTGCCTGCTCACACACCTGGGTTCCTATGGCAACTCACTCTACAGCAAGGGCAGAGAAGAGCATTTAAAAACAAACTGCTCCAACTTGCTCACTTCACTGGCGGTTGCCATCTTCAAATGGTTTTAGTTTAAAAACTATAAATCCTACACCGAAGAGCTTTATTTTGTGAGAATTACAAGACCCAGACCTACATTTTAATGCATAGTATGTCTCTGAAATATTAAAAATGAAGGCACAGTCGCAGTTTAGAAATTGCCCTTCAAATTTGAGGTGGCTAGAGTGGAGTTTCAATGAATGTCAATGGGCGGTGTGAGTTGCAAACAAATGGTCATATTGTGAAAACTATCAGGACTATGGCTTAGCTGTGGACATTTTTAGTGGCAGCAGGGATAGCTGAACGTTTTGATATAAGATTTGTGTAGGTGGGCTCGAAAATGAGGGAGTGATGGCAGTTTAGAAATCATGTCCTGATTTTTCAGAGTACACTCTAGCTTTTGTCAGCTCCCACTCTAGTTTTGAACATTCCTCCATTCATTCCTACGGGACCAATTTCACCACAAAAACGGCGATATTTTGTGAAACATTCAGTGAAACGTTCCACAAAGCAATAGCACACCAATCGGGAATAATCCGCACTTTTCGGTATATTACTGTCTATGTAGTGTAAAAACTGTGGGAGGAGTTAGGGTGGTAAATTTGCCTATAATAATAAGAATATATATGTGAGATAACAGTAAGTGGTCTGGCCATGCAAGAACACTTAACAAATACCAACTTTCAGTACATCCAAAAATCATCCTTAGTATCACACGCACAACTATTGTTCTAATTTTTTGGTATAGCAACAGGCAGGAATCAGTATTTGCCATTGGCTTACTGCCAAGTGGGCTTGAGCAATGAGGAGGGTGGGGGTGATGAGGTGGCAGTCCATACCTGGATGTCTAAGATTGAAGGGGAGTGAAGGGAGGGAGAGCCAAAACAACAGCATAGTAGCATTTCATCCAGGGGCGAAGACAGCTTGCAGATGAGTGGAGGGACCAGACTGCTAGTGGATATCCCACTTGTTCAGGCCAGGACTGTTCCACATAGCTCAGCAGTTTGGGCCTCTTCTTTCTCATTCATTTGAGTTATACTACTGTCTACAAGAGGATTTGGACACTGGTAAATTAAACTTGTGAGTAGCCTGGTATAACCCCACTTACATCTGACATGCCTCAGTTTTTTGCTAGAGGGCTTCCTAATTTTTCAAAGTGTTGGGACATCTGTTGAACTTTTGGACTTTTGGACAGACAGAAAAGTTTTCTGTACAACACTGCACATCTTGAGTGGAGGGTCTTCCAATCAGGATCCAGTTTTACAATGTCACTGCAGTGTCATACATCGGCCATAAGAAGAAACTTAGAAATAGAAAGGATTCTGTCCTGAGCAGAATTTCACATTCCTTGTTCATCTTTTACATCCCAGCTGTGGACAATTGGTAGGCAGACTACCTCAGCCAGCAGCAAGTCCAGATAAAAACACTGCCATGCTGTTTTGCAACTGGTATGTCTATGAGACAGGAGATACAGTGGGTTAAAGATTCTGACTACTCTTCAGGGGCCAGGTTACAGGTGGCTGACCCCATGCATTCTTGTGCCTGGCAAGGGCTTGTGTAACAATGGCACCTTGTGGTGCAGCAGTTTCTAGTTAGGTTCCTTTTTTCTCCAGGAAGTTCTGCCGAAGGCCAGAAGAGTGTTCATCCTTCTAAAACACAGCAGCAACACAAGCTGCCTGGCAATAGCCTGTGTGCAATACACCCATGTACTGAAACTCGCCATTGATTATTTTGCAGCAGTTGCACCTGCAGCAGCAGGACATAAATGAGTACTTGTTTGAGTGTGTCAGTGGCTCCTGATTCAGGGAGCTGCAATAATACACTTTAATTTTTATTCCACGATAAAACCTGACCAGTCTCTGCATCTGAAATCATGGCCAAGTAAAAAGGCTGACAAATTGTGCATAGAGTCTGTACAATATCTCTGGCTTTTGTCTCAGAAAAAAGACATTCTTAATTTCATTTCACAATAAAACCTGTCTCGTCTATCCTTCTTCATTTTTGACCTAGTAAAACTGCTTACATAATGTGTAAGAAGTCCATACAATGTTTCTGGCTGTTGTCTCTCAAATAATACACTAATTTTACTGCCTCATCTGTGCCTATCTCTCTCTTCAGCCCACTCAAGCTGCATACATACACTTCAGTCCTGTTGGCAATTATCTCTGAAATTTCAGAATAAAGACAGGCTTGTTCCTTGAAAGGTTGGGATTTTGAATTGTTTTTTGTGTACTCTGATACTTATATTTAATTTATTTTTCTAACAACATTGTTTGGTAAAGCAAAAGAAAAGCTCACAAATTATACTATGAAACAGAGTGATTGGTACAAAGCTGGGGGCTTTAGCTTATTTTTTTGTAAGAGTAAGGATTTCTATAGATTTTAAATTTGTTGCTGCTTCAACCACTCAATTCAGGCATATTACTGCTGTATACATTTACTACCGAAAAGCCTTTCAGTCTGAATGTAACACTGCAAACAGCTGAAGGCATCTCCCAGGCATTTATTAGAAAGGAATGGTGTGTTTCCTAATTTACCCTCCAAGTTGCATAATAGGTAGAATTGTCTCTTTGCTATGTTGTTTTATAACGTTTTTTTTGGACTGTTACACATTCCCAATGACGGTGCCCTGCTCCAAATGCCATTTGATTGACATCCCTTTTAGCCTGTTAGCTTTGAATTTGGGTTAAAGTTTGCAAACCAAACACAGAATGATTTGCTTGTCCTTAAATGTCACATCAAACCATCTTCATTGCACTCATACACCTGTTTTTCATTACACTTCATCTCAATATAGTATAGAGATGTCAGCCTAGATTTATGAATAAAAAATCAACTAAAAACAACTAATTTGCATGTAAAGTGGCAGTCTACTGTATGAACACCTAAGAAAGCACAAATATGAAATTCAAAACTAAGCACACATTATGTTTGTCTCTCAACAACTATATTTCTCAGCCTAAAAACAAAGAATATTGGTTTTAGGCAATCCTACTGGGGAAACATTTGAGTTTTCCATATTTAGCATACTCTCATTTAAGAAGATTACATTTATTACTAGAGTCAGATTTCCATCACTGGAATCTGCAGACACAGAACCTTTAATATTGAAGCAATACCCCTCTGCTGAGATCTGTTGTAAAAATGTTCTTGAGTTATTGTTCCTAACTAGAACATATAATTTTTAGCAACATTCAAGTTTATATGAGATGACTTTATACTATCTATTGGTGGTAAGTAAATGTATTGTGTAGTCATTAACTATATAAGGAAGCCAACTTTTTTGCTTCTGCCATCTATAGGTACAGATGAGATGTGACTAATGCTAAACCTAACACTGCTTCTTACAATACCTATTTAATATTTCACAGTTGAACGTTCAAGAGTAGGCCTGTCATCCATGGTTGGAGAAGGAACAGATTACATTAATGCATCCTATGTCATGGTAAGCAAGAACATATATAAGTTTAATTAAAAATAAGTAAAACAGAGCAAAAAAACAGATTAATTTAAGCCACATATTTTTCTGTGGCTTGCACAAAAAACATCCTTTCACAATGTATTACTTAGTTATACTATGAGTTTTCCTGATCAAATAAGATTTCATACTTCAAATACATTACAGCCTTTCTGAAAAAGGGAAAATCAGGAAACGGATATTATTTCATAATCTATCAATGCACACTGAAAAATATTGGGACTTGAAAGATGGACTGAGCGTTGTCGAAATGTTGACAATGAAAACACTGCTGTATTTTTTACTTACCTCCTCTGCAAGATCCATGAGCGCCTCTACACAAGTTTAGATTTACAAGGAGGAACCTTTATATCTGTGTCCCCCCTTACCTTAGTATATTCATTACCCCTACCTCAGTGACCGCCCCACCCCCCACAGGTTTTGTGTGGCCACTGGAGGGTGCAGCTGCCTGTCACTCACCTCCTCCATTGCTGGCTTGTATGCAGGGCAGTCAGGCACAGTCCTCCAGGCGGTTCCTCTAATCACCACCTCTGTCCTCTTCTCCAAGTTCTCCTCCAGAGTCCATATCCAGTTGTCCAGTGACACACATTTTTGCCACTTTTGGCATTTTTTGGACAAAAGCGTTTCTTTCCTGAATGCAATTCTTCTATGTTCAGGAGAGGGATGTTTAACTGCCCCTAAACTCTGCTGCTGCTAAACTCTGATAAAAGCCTATGTGTGCATGGACACATAGGCTTTTATTGAGTTGAGATCAGGGGCTTTGCCAAAAAAATGCCAAAAGCTGCTAAACTCACATTTAGAAGCAATAGTGTACTTGGGACCTAAAGGGGAATGAATAAAAATAAGATATGAGCCTATTAAATGTATACGCTGCACAAATACTGTATGCCACACCCACAAAATGTGCCTTAATTACAGTACCATATGAGAAATTTCCACAGACACACATAAAAAAATATACATTCAGCCTACCTTAAAGAAAAACTTTGTTACACAGCTGGTATTTCTTATCGATCAACATGTGTTATGTGTACACGTTGTCTGGACTGTGTAACATACAACATTGGGTATACAGATGTCAGGACTATGCCACATACAACATAAATGTTGGTGGTCAGTGGTAGGTGGTGCATGTTACTTTTAATGTTTTTGGCAGGGGTGTGTGTGCCCTCTTACATGTTGGTGTTTAGTGGTACAGTATGTGTTGTGCCCCACTGGTGGTTAGTGTCCTCATTTTTGATCAGTGTCCACAATGATGTTCAGGGCTCCAATTAGTGGTGAGTGATCTGTGCTCCTATTGCTGGCCAGTGGTGTGTGCCCCTATTGGTGGTCAGTGGTCTGGATCCACCTTTCACTGGTGGATAGTCAGAGTAGTGTTTACAAGGAACAAGTCAGAAGCTCAGCACCACTTTCATCTGGATCATGGGTCCTTATTCTGTAATGTTGGGCCAAAATTATGCAACATCAGGCAGACTTTCTCTCAACCTGGCGCTGCCATCAGTTACTATCATACAACAGAACAAATCACTCTGACAATCAAGGTGATTTGCTCAGTGAGAAATCTTGCTAGATCCAGTGCATTGAGCAAGTGATCCATAGCACGTGCCCCACATGCCTATGCTGACGCTAAACATGGTGGTGCTGTGGCTGAATAAATTCAAGTAAAATTTTGACTGAAGCTAATTAGGCACAGGAATTGTATATTTATTTATTTCAGGTACTTATATAGCGCGGTCAATTTATGCAGCCGTTACATATATATATTTCCACGTTCAAAAACAACTTTATTTAAAATAAATTGTTGTAATGTACATGCTAAGCATATAAATCTATATCATCCAGGAGAAACAAGTAAGCCAACTGAGCATGGTATCAAATTGACATAGACAAGTAAAAAAATATATAGTACAAATATATGTAGAAACAAGAATCTAATAGGTCTGTCATACAGGATTAATATTTGTAGTATAAAATATCCGAGATAATGAAGGAGAGACTTCTCAAACACATGTATCTGGTAGTGCAAGCAATCTATCCCAAACCTTATTATATTTAGCAGGGCAACTTCTATGGAGGTAAATAAGCTTTTTAGAGGGAAGAGTGATATTTACCTCTCGCACCCAAGATTCCAGTGTGTGAGGGGTTGCCTGCATCCAGTTCTTTGCTATGAGCTTACGGGCAGGAAATAATGTTTTGTGAAAGAATGTGGTTTGAACCCATATGGTCGTGTAAGAAACGGATGACCTGGGCCCAACAGGTTTGCATGACAGGGCAAGACCATATAAGGTGATAGAATGTACCCATGTGCATCATACATAGAGGACATAATAGGCTGTGAGAGGGCTTATATTGGGATACATGAACTGGAGTCAGGTAAGCCTTCTGCAATATATTAGCTGAGTCAAACACTCAGAAGCCTTAGTTGAAACAAGCTTATAATTGTCTAGTATTTCTTCCCAATCATTATCCGCAATTTCCCCCAGGTCCAGTACCCATTTGGTTTTAACCCGATAGGCCAGCTTAGTAGCAGTTGGGGTCAACAAGGTAGTGTATATGGTGGAGATCAATTAACATGGTCTGAGTTCACAATTATATCCAACAGCCGTAATAGAGCCAAGGGTGGGGATAAATGTGGAAATTGAGTCTGCATTGCATGGCGTAACTGTAAATAGCAAAGCCATGGAGTTGGGGAGGGAGAATTCGGTCTGTAGTGCTGCAAAGGTTTTTAGCCCAGAGGCTATTGAAAAACTGGTGTAAATATAGGATCCCACTGGACGCCCATACAATAGGATCTGGGAGTTATAGCAATTCAGGTAGGCTATGATAGAACCATAGTGGGGTATGTGTGTGGAATGATCCCTGTGTTCATAATACATTGTGGGGGAGATGAGGACTGCACATGAGAACCATTGCAGAACAAAGTTGTCTAAGCTGATGGTATTACACTAGCTACCCACAGTTACTGTCTTAAAAGCTGATTTAACCTTTTACAGGGGGGGACCTCTAACTCACACTTGGAGAGTCTACACCCTACAAGATACGGGTAGCTCCCAGTGGGGTCCAACATACGCCATATGGATTTGTTGTATGGGTCAAACCCCCATTTTATGTGTACAAATATATTTTATTGAGCATTATGCTGTTAAATAAAGCTTGTATTATAAACAATATGTTAGTTTGATTGTTCTTATAGCACCTTTAAAGTCCACAGTACTTGTTTTGTTTTTCTTTATATGCTCCCTTAGAAATTATTTAACCCTTTTGAGGATCTAACCAAAAAGGAAATTTTTGTTGCAGACGATGCCTAAAGTCTGACTTATATCTTAGTGCAGACCTCTGGGAAAATCAGTGAGGCAATCACACAAGCAAGAAATTACATTTCTGGGGGCGTTCCATACACCAACTGTGTACAGAACCCATCCAGGCTTCCATATTGCATTGAATTTTAAAGAAAATTACAGCAATGCAGATTGAAAAGGAAAGATATTTTTAATAACATTACATTGCAATATGGCTAATGTCGTAATTGTATATGCTACATTATATATTTTTTTTTTTTTTTTGTGATTTTTTTTTCCATGAAAGTGGAGTTACCCTACGAAGAGATAGATTGATAACCATGCAAACATTATTTTTCATTTAATATTTGTTTTTTAAGTAGCATTTGCATGCATATCTTTGTAAAGAACTATAAATAAAGAAGAATTCAACTCTTTTTTTCTCTAGGGATACCATGAAAGCAATGAGTTCATAATTACACAACATCCATTATTGCACACAATTAAAGATTTCTGGAGGATGATCTGGGATCATAATTCACAGACAATTGTAATGTTTCCTGATAACCCAAATATGGTAAGATTCCACACTTAGTTAACCTGCTGCAAGTAGACTTGATTTATAGAAAGGGTAAAGGCTCTTCACTTATCAAATACCTGTGTTCACTTCAAATACCCAAGCACGCTTGAATAAAAATCTTGTTTTCTTGGTTTTGTTTTTTTTTTAATTCCCTTGCACATAATTAGGTATTCAATGTGAACATGGAGTTTGTTGGTTTGGAAGTTTGAAGTAATTAAAAAAAGTTTACAGGAAAAGCACAGTATTTTTTTTTTTTTTTTCAATTGGACCTTCCTTGACAAACAAACTGCTTGTCCAAAATAATAAAAACCTACATAGGCCTAGGCCTTTCAGGAGGCACAGCTCATGTCACCATGTCTATAGGCAGAGTTGGGAGCTCAAAATCCGGTGAGAATGCAGTCTTTCAGGGAACTGGAGTACATTTTTGCAGGATTTGGAGATCTCAGCTCTAGTGGAAGGTGTGGTGTTTTCACCCGTGCCTCCAGAAAGCATCCATGGCTAGAGTTAAGGTAAGTATTTTGTTAAGCCATTTGTGTTGGGGGGGGCTGTCACAAAACCTAACTTTCTATTTGCCTTGGAAGGTCTGCTTTGAGGAGGTGTGTTACTTTTAGTGATTGTTAAAGTTATCCTTTTACAAAGTACGGTATCCAGTTTGATTGTGAGGTGAAAAAGTATATTTGCCCTGTTTAATTGCCATCCATACTCTTGGAACCAGTGATCAGTGCTGGCTTCAACCAGGACAAGAGGAACTTCAAGAGCGGTCACCTTAAAAATGGGTATATAACCTTTTTTATCCCCCTCCTCTCTCCCACAATGACTGTACGTCTACGAGCTGACCCCCTTCCCTGAGCAGAAAGCCACACTCTCATTGCAGACTTCTTCTTCCCCTTCACTCTATCACCTATTCTTCCTGTTACTATGGGGAACCCTCCCCAGTTGAGTTTCTTTTTGTTTCTTGTAAAAAGATGGGTAGCACCACAACACCTAGGACATGTCTTTATTTCCTTGTTTGCAATTTAAACATTTTCTTCAAATTAAAAGTGCTTTGTAACAACTTAGTCCATTTACAGTGGTTTTTGAATCAACAGATTGCATGCCTTGTAGTGCCTGTGCGATTTGTAACTTATTATTCCTACTGAATATGATCTGTATTACATCTCCTTGCTTGATGTATATGATGTAACCCTTTCTTAAATAAAGAAAGTAAAACAAAGGGTATACAAATATAACAAGTCCATTTTTATACCATAACAATACATATTGTACATTTTGTCTTTACCTTCTGAAAATATAGAGGCATGCTTAAAATGTTCTGTTTCATGTTCAAAAAACACTTCTTGTATTCATAAGGCAATAGCTAATTGGCTTCTTTCCAAGGTACATACAGTTATTTAAATAGGTACATTTGGAATGTCTTTACTACCAAGGGATGTATCTTCTATAAGCCAGTATTATGATTCAAGCACACTTGCCAGACAGACAGACCAGTCAGATCCTGAACATTACTGCAAACTACACTGAAGTAAAGCAATATAGGCTGCTCCCGGGTAGAGTCTAACTCACTTAATTTGCTAACCCTACTCCTAGGGGTCTTTGTATAAAAAGTTATTCACACAGGCCACCCCAAGTCTTCACTTTAATTTTCCTAATATGTCTGTTTCCTAAGATCACCAGCACCATCTTATTGTCTTACATTTAAACATACAGATCTATTTTTATTACTGCATTTTTTTAAATTATTTTTACAACTTTCTTTATCATGAATATTATCTCACCAGGCTGAAGCTGAATTTGTTTACTGGCCAAACAAAGATGAACCCATTGCCTGTGAAAATTTCACAGTGAGCATGGTAGGGGAAGACCAAATCTGTCTCTCAAATGAGGAAAAAATGATAGTACAAGATTTTATTTTAGAAGCTACCCAAGTAAGTATACCCTAATGCATCTTATAAAGTAATTATGTTTAACCTGTTCAATAGATCACAAACAGTAACATAAAATACTGGATTTGCACAGGGACTTTATAAATTGATTTGAAGGTTTTTAAAATGCATCAACATAATATTCGATTGATTGTCATTTATAAGCTGTATCTTATTTAGTATTGTTCCTTTATCATTTCTGTAGGATGACTATGTGCTGGAAGTTAAGCATTTCCAGTGTCCAAAGTGGCCAAATCCTGACAGCCAGATAAGTAAGACATTTGAACTTATTAATCTAATTAAAGAAGAAGCAGCCAATAAAGATGGACCTATTGTCGTACATGATGAGTAAGTAATAAAATTTAATATTAACCATATATTTATTGTTCAAAAATGTATGAAAGGATTGTAAATTATATGAAACGGGATGAGAGATCATCATGTATCTGAATAATAAAAATGATGAGTTGTAAGTAGGTAACAATGCATGATCAATAAGAAGAGATAAGGTGTGGTTATCATTAGTGATAAGTACCTAACAATCTACATTAGGAGCAGATATTGGAAAGCAAGGTAAAGTCTGTCAACAAACAATGCACTGTATTATCATATCGATTCTTAGGATTATTGTCTCTAGCAGTGAACAATAAAGCAGGACCAAACTGTTTTAAAGGGACATCCACGCAACATTGATACTTCAGTTTCAGGTGGCATCTGATGGGTTCAGGCACTGGTTTTCTTATTGCTTTCTTTGGAAGTCTATTAAAGAGTTCTCCCTTATTTGGCTGCTGACTCTAATACTCCTTAATATAAATAAAAAATCAAATTGGGTGAGCAGGGCCCCCTTTATAGTTGCCATAATTGGTATGCAGACCCGGAAATTTATGTGTAGAGATTTTGGCACTGAAGTCCCAGAGAGATAAAAGAAACAATAAGGTTGGTTAGCATCTACCAAAAACTGAAATATCAGATTTGGGTGTACTGAACCCTTAAAGGATAAAATTACACTTCATATAAAGCAATAATGCACACTGCACTACCAAATAGCCTCTAATTTATGAATAATAAGGTACCCATATTTTGCCATAAAGAGAAACAGTGATTTAAGTTTCAGAATGTCTATTACAAATTAGGCAAGGACATGGGGGTTGATTTACTAAAAGTAGACTGTGCAAAATCAGGTGCAGCTCTGCATAGAAACCAATCAGCTGCCAGGTTTTCTGTCAAAGCTTAAATGAACAAACTGAATTTAGAAGCTGATTGGCCACCATGCACAGCTGCACCAGATTTTGCACTCTCCAGTTTTAGTAAATCAACCCCATGGTTTACTAAATGGGCTCAGCTTGTACGTGTCTGATATATTTAAATACAGCACAAAATATGTTGATTTAAACCAGACAGATCTTATCTTTGCCATACGTTGATCACAGGAAGCACCTTAGATTGTAAGCTTCTTGAGGGCAGGGACTGATGTGCATGTACAATATACTGTATAAATATAAAGCACTGCGTAAATTGACAACAATACATAAGTACCTGAAATTAATAAACAGGAAGCAGCGCCTGCTTATGTGATAAATATGGCGTTTGGCATGCTTCGCCAACCCTAAGCATCCGCCCCACTGAATCTAGTGTCAAAGTATAAAAATATATGAAACAAATCCGTGAAGAACTAAAAATATAAGATATTTAGACCATTCCATGAGCACTGCTTATTTAATATAAAAATATGCCTACCACCATGTAAATAAATATATGATGACAAAGCATACGTAGAAACAAATTTTTCATATAGCAATTACGTGTAGAAAGGATTACATTTAGCTGGTCTTTGATTTTTTTTTTTTCTACTAAATCTTCACAAAATTATTTGTTTTTTTACAAAACCATTAAAAGGCTTTTGGATCTCTTGAACTTTTTTAAGTAGATAATGTATTAGCCAAAAATTGCTTTCTGAAATCAGTACGCCTAAATTATTATTGTTCCTAAAACTTATTATTCATCCACTTAAGTTTCATTGACCATTCTACCAAAAGACCTATAATTAGATATATATTACATGGTGGCAGTTTATAAGGAAGTCGTTTTATTTTAGATATGGTGGAGTAACGGCAGGAACATTCTGTGCATTGTCAACCCTCATGAACCAGCTGGAGAAAGAAAATTCTGTTGATGTTTATCAAGTGACCAAGATGATTAATCTGATGCGACCTGGACTATTTACAGACATAGTAAGTAAATGTATGATACACGGTGATTCTTATTTACTAGTAACAACAGCACCATGTGCTTGATTTCGTGGCACCTTGTATCTATGGTAAACTTGCAACCATCGTTTAGGGTATAAGGTTGAATCTTAAAAACACATAATGAAGGTAAAAGTAGAACTCCATTAGAGTTCATGTGATTGGCACAGGGCCAATCAGCCCTGTCCAGACAGAGGGTCAGGGGTCTCGCAGCCTCATTGGACAATCAGAGGAGAATGAAAACTCCTCCTACAAGCTTTAACCAGTGCTCAGCTAGACACTGATAGAAGTCACAAGACTGCTCTAACTGCTGATGAGAATAGGTATTTAGCAGTTTATATTTACTTAAATAATTGCATTTCCTTTCACCCCTCAGCATAAATCCTCTTCCTCTCCTGGCAAAATTCTCTCCAAATACCCTCTCTGGTAATCCTTGTCTACCCCAAATCATCCTCACAGCACAAATTCTCCCCCAATCCCTACTTCTAGCACAAATCTTCTTGTCCTTCATCCCACCTCTACCCCCCCCTGTACAAATCCCCCACCCAAATCCTGCTCCCTGTGGAAATCCTCCTTTTCCAAACTCCTTCTTCTAGTACAAATCCTCTTACCCTCCCTCAAACCCCCCTTCCCAGCACAAATCCTCTCCTAGGCCCCTGCTTCCAGCACAGATCCTCCTATTTGTACCCCTAAAATCCCCTTACAAGCACAAATCCCCCCCCCCCAATACAAATGCTCTTGCCTTCAAAATTATCCTCCAGCACGAATAGTTCTAATCCCTCCCAGCCTAAATTCCCACCCAGCATAAATCCTTTTATTCCCCCCCAATCCCCCCTCTCAGCACAGACCTCAGATACTGGGACCTCAGTGCCAGGAGGTCTCCTTCCTCCCATGCTCCTCCTTGTGTTCTATCATAAGACACATCAGAGATAAGGAGGAACCTAAGGGAAGCTGTTACTGTTGCTATAACATGCAGCTGGCGGTGAGAAATGCTGACTGCTGCAGTGTCAGCGATCACTGTACTAGGAATACAGAGACACCCAGCAGAAAATGTGGGCAAGTGCCCTGGGTATAATCTGCTAGTGATTGCCAACACTGCAGCAGCCCAGTGGCGAACACCCTCCATGCTAGCACATTGTACCCAGGTCAGATGCCTGCTCTGCCCCCCCCCTGTCCCTGGTGTGTGTTGTCACCCTAAGAAAGGAAGTGTGTTCCTGGCAGGATCACAATTTTTAATAAAAAGAAAAAAAGGAAACTAAGGTTACCACTTCATCCAAGGACTGGTAAGCTGCAACACATTAAAGGCTAAGTTCACCTGTATTTAGGGAGTGACATGTAAAATACCCCAGCTTCTATCTCCAAACCCCACCCCTGATTCCTCCCTCCCTGTGACATTGGGCTGGGATCCTTCTTCACGCACCCACTGCCACATCTGAAAATGGCACAGCTGTGAGGGGCTGTATCTACACAGCTGTGTCATTCATTCATAGGAATGTGAATGAGAAAACTACAGGTCCTGGCGGCAGGTGGCTTTAGTTCTCTGTGAACTTCAAGGGTGCTATTAAGCACCCTCATAGTCCACTGACATGTTCTCCAGCTTCCTAATTCTGGGGAATAAGGAAGGAATTCCCCTCCACTGGAGAAAATTGGATCATGTTTTATTGGGTTGCTTTTCATTCCTTTGGATCAACTGTGGGTATAGGATTCTGTATATGGAGGTTTTCAGTGTGTGTGTGTGTGTATGTGTGTGTGTTTTTTTTCTGTGGGTTGAACTGGAAGGAATTATAAACTGCATATGGTCAAAAAGCAGGAGGGCATGACTGCATGGAATCCAACATTGTGATCCACTGATAAATGATACAAAGCTCTGCAGTCTACTGTGCAAGATATAATCAATACACATTTTTTACCTTCAAAAATATGTGCATTTATTATTTTTTGCAGAAACTTCAAACATTTATGTATTTGTATATCTAAACCCAAAAACAGAAATGCAATGTGGCTAGAGATGCAAAGGTCTTTGCTTCCTTCCCAATTACCATGTAAGTGGATCCCTAGTAGAAATGGCTGCTAACAAATGGCCACATTTGTCAGATCTAATTGTTTTTTTATACTAAGCTGAACCTTTATGATGGCATGAACTGAACATACAATGACACTAATATTCAAAGGTAAATAAGATATAGTGCTGTTGCGCTTAGGAGTAGATATTCATGCAACTTTGATAAATATACGGTGCAGTCCTAATTTGTGAACTAATAGCACAAAAAAAAAAAATACCATGTGAACCGTGCATAAATTAAGTGCATTAAATTTGACAATACATGAGTAATATTGCTTCACATATGCAAAGTGAATAATTGTAATATTCAGTCCCAATACAGAAAAATAAAATGCCCAGGTGTTGAATACTAATTGGTGAACTTCGTGCAAAAAATGACAGGTGCTCCTCTGTGCTAAATATAACAAGAGATATAACAAAAACATTTTGTGGTGTATTTGACCGATAAAAAGTGAGCAAAAAGGAGTTAATTGTTAGAGTTATGCTACCTTAAGAATTGAACAGACAAGGCACACATGACTTAGTCACCCCACAGATGGGCAGATGTTTGCTCATGAAAATATTACACAGTCGATGAAGATATTTGCGTATTCTGAAATGGCTAACCACCAAAAATGACAGCGGCACACACACATGGACAATAGATCCTTATTCTACATCACAGAAGAGTGAAACATTAGACAATGAGATTTTAAGCTATAAAAAGCTATGTATATGAGAATGAGCACCTCCAGTCATCAGTGGTACTCATTATTGTCCTTTAGAGAGGGCATTGCAAGTGAAGCTTAAATCAGGAGCTTTGCTTGCTATCATCAGCCATCAATTTTGAATTTAAAAGTGGTTAATTAAAAGGAGTGCATTGCAACTGAAGCTCAGATCAGGAGTTGCACTTTTTATTATCAGCCATCAATTTAGAATTTAAAAGTTTAATCAAAAGGAATAATTTAAAAAGGTATTTGTATCAGTTTAGAATATAAGCTATCAATGCAAGTCAAAATGTAAGTGTTTCCACACTAATCCCTTGTTTGCCGTCAACTCATCACATTGAAAGCAATGCGCCGCCAAATCATACGCTTTCCAAGAAGTGGATAATTTGCTCAAATGCTTTAAAGTGGTTGTAAACCTCATACATGAAATCTGAACAAAGCAAATTTTTCTATACTTTGTATTTGTCTCTATCCAAAGCTCGGTGTGTGATTTCTCTCTGCTGCCTCGTTCCTCTGTTATCTGTATGAGTCACTTCTTAAAGCTTTTCCAGACTTTAGGAGATAATTGGTGATGAGGGAGGAGAGCTCCAGCACACTGCCTGTGATTGATAGCCATAGCTGTGCTTGTTCTCTGTGCTGTGTGAGGAGGGGCGTGTGTCCATTCCCTCCAATTAGGAGCAGAGCTCTTCTCCCTTGGCTGTGCAGTGTGTGAATTCAGAGCCCTGCCCCCTGCTTTGTGCTACTTACAGAAGCTTACAGATTCTGTGTGAAGTCTGTGTATTATAGAAGGCTGTACAAGACAGCTGACTGTAGATAAACAGGTACAATGTATTTGTTTCATGTCTGTGTATCATCCTAGGCCAGTCACTTTAATGGTTTTATTTAAGGGTTTTCAGCCACTTTAAATGCATTAAAAGCTAAGGCTACTTTACACATATATTTGCAGAAAAAAATGTGCATTTATTTGTTTATTTATTTAAAATCAGCCTGAAAAGTGTTGCACCACTGCAATGCATAGGATCTTGCAGGCTCTTCCACCAGCTCCTTGTCTGTGACGAGGCTTAGGCTTGGAAGAAATGTCTTTGGACTACAAGTGCGGTAATCTGTTACAAGAAAAGCCAGCCACTCTGTGTACTCTTCTTATGTATCTTTATTGGCTACATATAAAATGGCACAGTAAACAAAATGCTAACACAGCCTTCCTTATAGCATCCCACTTGTGTTCCATTGAGGACTATAAATCTGCCTGATGTGGCAGTGATGCGGCTGTGTGGGTAGAGTAAGGTGGAGAAGAACCCCTGCATAGTGTCCTGGGTTTTTAAAAATATATATTATTTAAATACATTCTTCAGATTTTTTTTAACATATAAAAAAGTAATTTTAACATATATTTTTACATATATTTGTAAATGCATTCCAAAAATGTAGATTTGTATATTTAAAGACATACAGTATATTTGAAATTTATTTTTAAAAATATTTTTCATATATTTTGTAATAAAAATGAATTTCAAATATATATATATATATATATATATATATATATATATATATATATATATTGAATATGGCCAAATTTGTAGCATTTCAAATATATGTCAATATATTTGTGAAGAATATTTTTCAAATATACAGTATTTCAAATATATTTTTCTTCCATATGGGTAGGCTTTAATATACAATGCATCAATCAAGCCTTATTCACCTCCTTATCTGATTTCCACTTTTTCTCCCCAGGAGCAGTATCAGTTCTTATATAAAGCTATTCTGAGTCTTGTAAGTAGCAGACAGGAAGCAAGCCCGGCGGTTTGTGTGGAGAGCAATGGATCTGCACTACCAGATGGAAATACTTTGGAAAGCTTGGAGTCTTTAGTATAATTATGAGCCTACTGCCATGCCGTGGTTAATTTTTGAATATTGTGGAAGGAACGGATCACTTACAGTATATATCTTTCTAACATTCTTCCAGCACTATTTTGTAACAAATGACTTCTGCCTCTCATTTACAAGTAATAATGTGTGCCTTTTGGAAGACATATCCATCCATCTCAGAAAGATAAACTTCATCAACCCCCACAGTGTTTTTTATGAATGGATTTTGTGCTATATTTGCTCAGTATTAGTTTCTACTAGTGATTTTTTAATCTCTCAGCTATTTGTATTTATAGCAATGTGCTTTTGCAGAAAGAACATGTTTTATGTAACACTTTGATGTGATAAAGCTTAGTTTGTTAGAATTTTGTGTTTCACTACAGGAATGTAAATAGCATCTTTCTTGGTACTTTTATCATTTCAAGGAATAGGAATACATACCAACCTGAGACGGTAGTAGTGTAGTAATCTAAGTACTGTAAATATTGTTCTAGGTACTTCATGGACCAAATTTATATTTATAATTGTAGATTTTTATATTTTATTACAAAGTCAGTTTTCCAGTTATTTGTATCCACATTGTTTCAGTAATATACATTGTTTTTATTTTGGCAAAATGCCCTGTCCATTGATGTATATCTTTAACAAAGTAACAGTTTTTGCATGTTATTTTAACACATTGTAAAAATGAAAATAAATGAGAACTTTTCAATATTTATACGTTTACAGATATGTTATTTTAAACTTGGTCCAACCTGCAGGCAAAAAAAAAAGGCCCCCCCCGAAAAAAAATATTAATATTAAATAATTACACATAAACTGACCTACCTTAGATAGAACATACTTAAAATGTGTGCAGACAATGTGAAGTGAGTGTGAAACACATTAATGAAATTAATATAACAAAACTCAATTCTCAAAATTCTCAAATGCCAAATATTGTGCAAAAATAATCAAATACACTTGAATCATGTGCAATGTGTGGAATTATTGTCCACAGTGATGTATAAGAAACTCAATAAATAAAGGTGTTGCTCTATGTAATAAGAAATCAACAACTCATATACAATCTAATATGCTTTGCAACCACTATGTGTTATCACATCTCAAGAACTATATAAATGTGCAATTATACACAATTTTGTTTATTGTGGATGGAGTGGGTTCACCATTTCTGGTAGCTGCTTTTTAATTGGTTTATCACTTTAATGTATTTCTTCTGTTTTTTTTATGTATAAGAAACTTGCCACAATTTAAATTATTCTTTCATGAACAACCCCAATCAGTGATCCACTCACCTTTTGGATTTGATAAGGATAAGTGCACCTTTAGGAATATGTTACATGTTACACCCATTTTTAGGGTGTAACATGTAACAAGCTCCTATACACCTGCCTCCAGCCACCAGCACTCCCTGTTCTGTGATTTTCTTCCCATACCCACTGTCACATTTTGAAAACAGCACGGCTGTGTGGGCTCTGCCAATACACAAATACACACAAAACACACACACACACACACATATATATATTTATATATATATATACATACACTATATTGCCAAACGTATTGGGACACCCCTCAAAATAAGTGGATTCAGGTGTTCAATCACCTCCATGGCCACAGGTGTATAAAATCAAGCACCTAGACATGCAGACTGCTTCTACAAATGTTTGTGAAAGAATGGGTCACTCTCAGGAGCTCAGTGAATTACAGCATGGTACCGTGATAGGTTGCCACCTGTGCAATAAGTCCATTTAATTGCTATTATTGCTAATATTCCACGGTCAACTGTTAGTGGTAATATAACAAAGTGGAAGCAACTGAGAACAACAGCAACTCAGCCATGAAGTGGTAGGCCACGTAAAATAACAGTGGGGTCATTGCATGCTGAAGTGCACAGTGCGCAGAAGTCGCCAACTGTCTGCAGAGTCAATAGCTAAAGACCTCCAAACTTCGTGTGGCCTTCAGATTAGCACAACAGTGAGTAGAGAGCTTCATGGAATGGGTTTCCATGACTGACAGCTGCATCCATGCCTTACATCACCAAGTGCAAGGCAAAGTGTCACATGCAGTGGTGTAAAGCATGCCGCCACTGGACTCTAGAGCAGTGGAGACATGTTCACTGGAGTGACCCATCACACTTCTCTGTTTGGCAATCCGATGGACGTGTCTGGGTTTGACAGTTGCCTAGGAGAATGGTACTTGCCTGACTACATTGTGCCAAGTGTACAGTTTGGTGGAGGGAGATTATGGTGTGGGGTTGTTTTTAAGGGGTTGGGCTTACGCTTGGGCTTGGTCCCTTAGTTCCAGCCTTTACAACTGCTTTAACGATGGGGTAGTGTTTATTATTTTCTAGTGTATATATTTTTTAAACATCCTTACAAAGTGTATCCCTCACAAATTAGTATGTTAAAAGAAAGCTGTCATGGTAGAACATGTTGTGGTTACTCTTACCATTGTAAGAACAATGATCACCACTTAATGAGCATTTTCAGGAGGAGTTCAGCAATGGCAGCCTATGTACATCTCTCACCACAGGTTCTCTTCCAAGTGCTCCCAATTGTTGGTCGTTGTCTTGAAATGAAAAAAGACACCAAGTGTGAAAGGTACATATATCTCTAACCTGGCTCATAGGGTTGATAATGGTTCAGTTTTACCACTTTTAACTCCTATATCTCAGAATTTATTGTATATGGTTAGGCAGCATTGAAGATAAAAATTGGAATGGCACTGTATTCTCACAGTGATGTGATAATGGAATTTCAAACAAAGTAAAAGTATTCATTCTCTGCTACATTTTATCTCTTGGCAATACCTCCTGTGGTTTACAGTCTGAAATTCTATTTTATCCTCACTCCTGTCGAGGTCCATGTTGAAAATAAAATTATACAAGTCATATAAGAGTATGTAGGGGAAAAAGGCGACATTGAAGCTGATGGGCAGCATTATTATTTGTTGACTAACCTTCCAGGCTGAAGCTCTGGCCATGCATCATGTTTGTTGATTTTCTTGGACTTTTAAAATGTTATATATTTCAACTGAGGCTCAAAATGGATTTTTCTCACAAATATATCTATGAAATTGCATGTTCTGAAAGACAGCAAGACACTGTCCAACAATTGAATGCTGTGCAAACATTCCCATTTCTGTTTTTGTTGTGCTTTTAAAAACTCAGAACCTAATTTAAGTTTAACGTTTCAAAACATATAGAAATAAAAGAATTCTGCCCAACACAAAAGAAGATTTTCAGTAAAGTGGACCTGATGTGAAGATGTGCTACCTTATAGGAAACATCTAGAAATGTCAATTATGCATAGTCAGTGCCCTGAAAGATTTACCTATTACCTTGAACTCCTCTGGATCTTTAGCAGTGCATTTGCTGGCATGTGGCTGTACAGTATTTACAACCTCATAGATGTATAGCAGCAGAATTAGATAAGGCACTGTCTTGCTTTTCTCTAAAGATCTTGAGTGAGATGTGGTGATACTGTGCTGCTCAGTGTGCTACATGCTGGATATAAAGCTGTACCTGAGAATCTACCGTTTAGAGATCCCCCTGTGTAATCCTGCTGCTTCTTAAATACAGTGAGGTTCATAAATATTGGGACATCAACACAATTCTAACATTTTTGGCTCTATACACCACCACAATGGATTTGAAATTAAACGAACAAGATGTGATTTAACTGCTGACTGTCAGCTTTAATTTGAGGGTATTTACATTCAAATCAGGCGAACGGTGTAGGAATTACAACAGTTTGCATATGTGCCTCCCACTTGTTAAGGGACCAAAAGTAATGGGACAGAATAATAATCATAAATCAAACTTTCATTTTTTAATACTTGGTTGCAAATCCTTTGCAGTCAATTACAGCCTGAAGTCTGGAACGCATAGACATCACCAGACGTTGGGTTTCATCCCTGGTGATGCTCTGCCAGGCCTCTACTGCAACTGTCTTCAGTTCCTGCTTGTTCTTGGGGCATTTTCCCTTCAGTTTTGTCTTCAGCAAGTGAAATGCATGCTCAGTCGGATTCAGGTCAGGTGATTGACTTGGCCATTGCATAACATTCCACTTCTTTCCCTTAAAAAACTCTTTGGTTGCTTTTGCAGTATGCTTTGGGTCATTGTCCATCTGCGTTGTGAAGCGTCGTCCAATGAGTTTTGAAGCATTTTGGCTGATTATGAGCAGATAATATTCCCAAAACAGTTCAGAATTCATCCTGCTGCTTTTGTCAGCAGTCACATCATCAATAAATACAAGAGAACCAGTTCTTTTGGCAGCCATACATGCCCACGCCATGACACTACCACCACCATGCTTCATTGATCAGGTGGTATGCTTAGGATCATGAGCAGTTCCTTTCCTTCTCCATACTCTTCTCTTCCCATCACTCTGGTACAAGTTGATCTTCGTCTCATCTGGTACATAGGATGTTGTTCCAGAACTGTGAAGGCTTTTTTAGATGTCATTTGGCAAACTCTAATCTGGCCTTCCTGTTTTTGAGGCTCACCAATGGTTTACATCTTGTGGTGAACCCTCTGTATTCACTCTGGTGAAGTCTTCTCTTGATTGTTGACTTTGACACACATACACCTACCTCCTGGAGAGTGTTCTTGATCTGGCCAACTGTTGTGAAGGGTGTTTTCTTCACCAGGGAAAGAATTCTTCGGTCATCCACCACAGTTGTTTTCCATGATCTTCCGGGTCTTTTGGTGTTTCTGAGCTCACCGGTGCGTTCCTTCTTTTTAAGAATGTTCCAAACAGTTGTTTTGGCCATGCCTAATGTTTTTGCTATCTCTCTGATGGGTTTGTTTTGTTTTTTCAGCCTAATGATGGCTTGCTTCACTGATAGTGACAGCTCTTTGGATCTCATCTTGAGAGTTGACCGCAACAGATTCCAAATGCAAATAGCACACTTGAAATAAACTCTGGACCTTTTACCGGCTCATTGTAATTGGGATAATGAGGGAATAACACACACCTGGCCATGGAACAGCTGAG